TTCAAAAAATAGAGAAATTGGTCACGACCACACATATATTATGAATGTGATAATTAACTAGAAAATTTAAACAAATCCGCATCTTGTATAAAATAATGTCAAATACTCAATCTATTGATTCATTAAGAGAATTAAATGCTAAGCTCTTAGCTGAGATTGCCGAACTTAGAAAGAAGTATGCTAAGGTTGAGGCTGAAAACGTGAAGTTAAGACAGGTCATAGAAGAGTGAATTGAGCTTAAAACCAGGTTTGAAGAGTTGGAGAAAAAAAATAAAATGGATACTGCCAAGCTCATTGCCGAGAATACTGAGCTTAAAGATAGAGTCACGAAATTGGAACGGAAGCAGACTCAGGTCATTATTAATGTACCAAAAGTATCTTCTACAAAAGATATTCTGCAACCTATTGACTCATGGAGTGAGGGCACTAACGTGCCTGAAGAATCGATTATTCCTGATTAAATAGAACGTAGCCCGGCGAAATCTGAATCTTTAACGAAACTTGAAGAATCGGAGATTCAATGCTCTGCATCACCCTCTGCAACCTCTTTACCACAAGATGATATATCCAAACAAATGTCAGAAAACACATCTGATATATCTGATATCGCTTCAAATTCCGGCATATGTCAGAAGTCGAAGACTTGTAAATCATTGGAAGATAAGGTGATCGATGAATTCCTGGATGAGGGGCATAAAGAAAAGGTAAGTAATGAAATAAGAGAAAGAAATCGAGAAAAAAAGCTTCAAGAAGAATCAAAGACTCATTGTAAAACATCCTCAGCTATTCAAGACCTATCATATGGTAGTACGGAAACTATTCTCTCAAAAAACGATCAAGATAGAAATTTATGTAATATGAAAACCGTTCCTCGGGGAACGATCGAGATGTAAATTTATCATGGGATACAAAGACTATTAGTTCGGAAATATCTAAATTAGAGCAAGATGTCGAGTGTGATAAAAATGAAATCGTAGAGCAGGGTTTGATAGAAGAATTGCATTTATCTACTGATAAGCAATGCCTCATTGATTCCACTGTTGATTCTGCTATAGGTAATACCAACTCTACAGAAAATAAAGGTCCAGCTCAGCATCTATCTTATTTATTTAAAACGGCAATCAAATCTCGACAACAGGAAATCTTAAACTGGTATTATTATTCCCTTGAATTCGAAAACAGGGTTTATGTTATTACAGCTGATGATAAGATCAAAGACAAAACAGCAAGAACGATGATTTATAAAGAAATGAAACCGTTTCTTCCTAATATCACTCAAGATAACTTGCGTGAAAAAACTCTTAGAGTTAGAAAACTTCTTATGCTATTCGGAGAAAATGGTGTCGGAATAGATAAAATTAAGCTGATTACATATAGTGCGAATGAGATTTCAAAATTGACTAATGTACAAATTCAGAATATTATAGATCAAGTGAAATCAAAAACCGTTCTCCCGGGGAACGATCAAGTTTTACCAGAAACAAAGGTAAGTATTACAACCACTTCCTCTAATTCGATAAGTGAAGAGATTAATCGAGATTCTGATCCATCAGAAATCAAGATACAGGTAAGTGCACCCGATGACTCGCGAAATGGGGATGCTATTGCATCTGAAGATTCCAACTATGAATACAATTTTGAAGATCCTTCGATAACAACGAAGATGACTCATGGAGTGAGGATGCTAATTCGTCTAAAGATGATGATGAGTTTTGCAGTTTCTCTGATGATGATGAAGGTTATTATTACGATTTAAATACCGGTGAAACTTATACAAAATCGGAACATCGTTATTCAATCCGCGCATATTAATAATGATTCTAGCACATATTATTCGTCAATCTAATTTTTATCACATAAAGACTAGAAATACGTTTTAATTTTAAATAT